GCACATCACCGCCTGCGTGCTACCGAACAAAGAACATATCTACTCTGTTAGATGCCTCATAAAGGCCAGGTCTATTCTCAAGGACCCCAGTCACCACAACCATAATCTGCTTTCTCTACTACTGAAAAAAAGAAGAAAGAGAACACAACGTTTCGGCCGTGGAGCCTTCTTCAGGTGTCACACATGGAATGGAATAAACCTATTACTTGTTCCTTTGCAGCCTACGCATGCTGACGCAGCTACCCACCTTTCTCTACTACTGTCTGGAAAACGATACCGAAGCATACAGACCAACAGATTTCAAAACAGCTTTTTCCCTCAGGCAATAAAACTGCTAAACTGCCAACCATGGCAGCCAGCAATTACCCAAACAACCACTGATAAATAGTCAGTCCACTTGAAACTGATAAGGTGTACCTGAGTTTTTTTTCTTTCCCTGACATCTCTGACCCCGCCATTAACACCAGCAGCACTGACAGCGTTATGAGCACCATCCCCCAGGCCAGGCTGACCATCACGGCTGACCAGGTGAAGAGGGAGCTGAAGAGGCTGCACCAGGGTAAAGCCACAGGACCAGATAACGTCTGTCCCAGAGTTCTGAGGGCTTGTGCTGATCAGCTGAGTGGACTGCTCCAGCGACTGTTCAACCTGAGCCTCCGCTTGGAGAGAGTCCCTGTGCTCTGGAAGACATCATGCCTGGTCCCGGTACCAAAGGAAGAGCGCCCCTCTGTCCTCAATGACTACAGACCAGTTGCACTGACTTCTCACGTAATGAAGACACTGGAGAGGCTGGTCTTATCCCACCTGAGACCCCTGGTTAGTTCACTGGACACCCTACAGTTCACCTACCAGCCCAGTGTTGGTGTGGAGGATGCAATCATCTACATGCTGCAAAGGGCCTACTCACACCTGGACAAGGCTGGCAATACTGTAAGGATCATGTTTTTCAACTTCTCCAGTGCCTTCAATACTATTCAGCCCTTACTTCTAAGGAGGAAACTGGAGGAGATGCAAGTCGGTGCCTCCATGATCTCATGGATCACTGACTATTGACAGGCAGACCACAGTCTGTGAGACTTCAGAACTGTGTGTCTGAACAGGTAGTAAGTAACACAGGGGCTCCCCAGGGGACAGTTCTTTCTCCATTCCTTTTCACCCTCTATACTTCAGACTTTAAATACAACTCAAAGTCGTGCCACCTGCAGAAGTTCTCAGATGGCTCTGCAATTGTGGAATGTATCAAGGGTGGGGAGGAGGAGGAGTACAGCGGACTGGTCAACAGCTTTGTGGAGTGGTGTGGGAAGAACCACCAGCAATTGAATGTAACAAAGATGAAGGAGCTGGTGGTAGATTTCAGGAGGAAAAGGGTCAAACCTACTCCTGCCCACATCCATGGGAGTGGCATGGAGATGGTGGACTCATACAAGTACCTGGGAGTGCACATCGACAATAGACTAGAATGGTCTAAGAACATCGAGGCCATTTACAAGAAGGGTCAGAGCCGACTTTACTTCTTGAGGAGTCTCAGGTCCTTCAATGTATGTAGTAAGATGCTACATATGTTCTATCAGTTGGTTGTGGCGAGCGCCATTTTCTACGTGGTGGTATGCTGGGGCTCTGAAATAAGAGCAGTGAATTCTAACAGGCTGAACAAGCTCATCAGGAGAGCAAGCTCTGTCATTGGGTCTGGCCTGAACCCCCTGGAGGTAGTGGGTGAGAGGAGAATGATGTCCAAACTAGAGGCCATCATGGACAACGTCTCCCATCCCCTCTATGACATGCTAGTAGAAATGAAGAGCACTTTCAGCAATAGACTGATCCATCCACAGTGCGACAGGGAGCGCTACAGGAGGTCATTCTTGCCTTCTGCCATAAGACTGTACAACGCATCCACCTTGCATCTGGGCAGTGGCAACATTGACACAGTGACCTGTTTCTGGACTGAACAGTAAACTGATACATCTGTTCTTTTTCTTTTTCCCGTTTACAACCATTTTGTGCAATATATGCCAGGGACCTGTGCAATACATTTATATTTATATTGTGCAATACGACTTTTTTGTGTACTGTTCTGTTCTGGTTTGTTCTTTGTGTGTTCTGTACTGAGGAACTCTTCTTAGTGCACTCACTGTACTGATTGTATTGTATGTATTGTATTATTATTATTATTATTATTATTATTATTATTATTATTTTATCATTCGTTACACTGTTGCTGTGTTGTCTGTGTTAAGCTGCTGTTGCGCTGCAATTTCCCTCACGGGATCAATAAAGTATCTATCTTCTATCCCTACCATATCTCCTTATGCTATTGTGTAAATCTTGTTAATTGTATAATTTATTGTATTCTACTTGTAACCTTAATTCGATCAACTTCTGTCCTATCTCTCCTTGCAAGCTTGTGGAAAAAGCATGTCATTGCTGACAACCCCCGCTGTATGCTGTATTGTTGTGTAATTGATAAATAAACCTTGATTGATTGATTTACATTGATTTTCCCTTCTTTAAGGGAGAGTGAGGGGGATTTTAATAAAAATCCAGAGTGAAAGCATAACATTTACCCCAAGTGTGTACACAGACCTGAAAAAATGCTTTATTCATGTAAGTAAACTGAAATAAGGTGAGTGACACATACAGTACTTTGAGATTAAATTAGATGTGGCATATGAGAAGTGATAAGCCCTCTAACACAATTTACATTCACCTTTTTTCTTCAGATATCATTAGGGGCATTAGAACCCACACAGTGAGTAATCACCCTCTTCTGCCCACACTAACACCTCTTCCAGTAGTAGCCTTAGTTTTCCCAGAGGTCTTTTATCCAGGTGCTGACCAGGCTAATACCTGCTTAACTGCAGTGGGTTCCCAGTTGTTAGATGCAGGGTGATATGGCTGCTGGCAATACTGATATAATATATATGTATTACATCGGCATGCGAGCTTTAAAGAAACGAGGTTAAGTTACTATTACAGTAAAACGTAAAAGAGAAATATGGAAACATCATTTCGCCCTTGGAACTGAGATTTACATTTATACCGCTACATATTTTTCGTATACTCAGAAGACAGCTAATATTCAAAACGATAATAATGTATAATTTACATAAACTTTATGAAAAACATAAACTTTATAAAACCAATGAGCTGAGAGATTAAAATTTTGTACAGTACACGCAATTCAAATTTATGAATGTAACGCAATATTGCGTTATTTTCAATTTTGTCAATAGAGGGCACCGAGCAAGAAGAATTTAATGCCAGTGCAAATCAACTTCATGAACTCTAAAATAGGGAAGCGCTTACAGAAATCGAAACTGTTTTTTTGTCAGTTTAGCGCGAAAGCTAAAACGCCCAGTTTAACAAGGCGCTTCCTCTGTCGCGACAGGCCACTCCACTTTGTAAAAGGAAAAAATCTCTTGATAACTTACACTACAGTGCCTGTTTTGGAACTAGACATACTTGATTTAACCATAAAGGTTGTGTATGCTGGGCTCTGAATAGAGGCATACTGCAGAGGGAATCTAGATACAATTTATTATTGATTAGAAACGTAATAATTCCATTTACTGTTTGCATTTTAAATAGAATTTACTCTGCGTGCTTTATACAGTATGTCCTGGAAACGGCGCTACTACCCAAGTAATTTAAAAGCATGCACTGTGTTATCTTTTAGCAAAAGAGTTCAGTTCGATGGTTGTTGTCTCTTTACAGATAATACAATACACATACTAGCGTATCGCCGAGTTAGCATGTTTCCAAATATTAACAAAATAGAAAAATCCATATGCCTCTCACACACCCGCTTAAGACATTTGGAAAGGGGAGTGTATTGTGCATTCGAGACACCGAGTCTAATACAAGTCATTGAGTTACTGAATCTAGAAAACAACAAAACGTTCCAAACTCTTTGACGCTGATGGGGTTATTTTACATTTTAGTACACATTTTCTCCCCCTTTGCTACATTAAAGATAAACCAATCCTTTCATGTCTGGAGATACCACAGTTTAACAATCACGCTTGGTTCTATGGCCATAACCACATTGAAAAAACAATATGGCTGATATTCTTCGGTATTTTTCGCAGAGTTTCGTGCACTTCCGAGACAAGAAAAGTTGCACCGTACCTTACCTGTTGAAGTTATGTTTTTTTTAACTCGCAGGTTTCGTGTTCGTATTTGCAGGAATTATTGTAGACCACGCTACCGACCACATACTAGAAAAGGTACAAAAATGTACAAAATAAACCAACCCCGCTCGTACGTTGAACAAGTGCATTTTTAAAATATTTTTACATTAGACATGTTTATATATACCGCACGTATAATTTTGTCAGTTTTTGTGTTCTGTTTTATTCACCAAGTCAAAATTCGTGCTAAACTGTGGATTTAAATCCATCCATTTTCTGAACAATTTAATTCAGTACAGAGTCTCATCTCACTATTGTTAAATTCATGTTTCTGTTTTACGTTCATAAAATATATTGCAATGCAACATTTTGTACAGGGCTTCTGAAGAAACGTAGTAATCATTATTTCACCAAATTCACAAAGCAATTGCTAGGAAAATAACATTTTTTGGAGCATGACATTTAATATGATACAGGCAAGTTCATTATGCTGATTAAGTGTTATTAGAGGGCTGATTACCAGTGGGTCTACAATGAAAGTCACAGAGTAGTAGCATGTGTGACCACTGTTAAACATAAAACATGCTGTACATTAGTGATGTGTACTCTGCTTCAGGATGTGGTATAGTGGGATTTTGTTCTCATTCCTCTGATAGGCCACGGACATGCATCTGCCTTTACATTATTCTTTAAACCCCAGATGACCCATGTCATTCCACCATATTACTGTATATTAAACAAACGTTCAATGGGGCTTAAGTCTGGTGAGCAGGGCTTCCTTCCATAGCATGTGTTAGTGTACATTCTCATCTTGGGAGAAAAGTCATTGTTACATGAGTAAGATGAGAATGTGAATTTCCCTGCTGAAATTTGGTCAGGTCAGGATGATCCTGCAGAAGGGACAGTAAATAAGATCTTAGGATTTGAGGGACTCTCCTGCCCAAATGATCACACTTGAACCTTTCCAGTAATTGATGTGTTGTATACAACAATTCAATCAAGTTGGTACTCTAGCTGTGTCAGCATACGTAGGCTGCAAGGGAACAAGTAAAGGTTTATTCCATGTTGATAAAGAAGTCATGTTGACATGTTTCTTTTCTTCTCTTTTCAACATGGAATAAACCTTTACTTGTTCCTTTACAACAATTAGCACATTTTTGCAGTACTCTTTGATGTTCATCTATGCGGACTACACAAAACCTTGATGAATCACTAATGTGGACTTGGTTCTAGAATCCTTTTGAGACTTTGGCCCAACATACAAAATGACACAAAGGTGTTATTCCATTGATAATTGGGGCATATTGATTTCTGTGTTTTCCTTTTCCTGATTTTCACCACCAATGAGCCGATTCACTGCACATGGGATTCAAAGTCACTTGAGTGTGTCGTGGTTTTTCATAAATGATCAATTAATCAAAATAATGCCAAAACATTTAATCAATATCTAAAATTAATATTCTTATTTTTTATAAAAATCTACACTCATATAGTGATAAATATAAATTGATATTCAGTTTATACAGGTGAAATATAAGATTTGAAATAGATATACACTACTGTGAATAGTCCAATTTGTCTTTCTGCATTTATACATTCTATTATTGCACAATACAGTCTTATAGTTTGTATTATCACTTACATGCAAAAACATAATTCACAGAAGTATAAAAAGTTAGCATGCAGTATAATGTTATAATAATAATAATAATAACAACAACAACAATAATAATAATAATAATAATAATAATAATAATAATAATAATAATAATAATAATAATTATTTAGCCATATACAATTTCTTGCATTAGGAATTCGTCTTTTCGCATACCCCAGCTTTTTTCCATGGAGACACAGACACACAGACGTGGTCATAAAGCTGAATTGTAAAATCAGAAAATTAGTAGTAGTTCAGTGAGAAAAAGCACCATCACATAACTTGCCTATATAACTAGGAGATTAAAATGCATGAATGCAATCAATTTAGGTAATACGGTTGGCTGGTCCTGGTTTTATGGTTCCCCCTTAGATCATCAGTTCACTTGATGAGACACTTTGAACTATATTGTTTCTAGCAATGAAACAGGTTATTTAGGTATAAAATTGTCTGAAATGTAAAATGTAGCACCCCGTAGCTCTCAAGGACTAAAATGGTCTATTCCTGATTTCAAGCAGCTACTGTAACTTGTTAAATTGATCTAATCGCACGCTTCAAGTCTTAAATTTATGTTTTTAACGTAAGAAACCAGCTCCATAGTGGCACTCTGAGCGAGGGTTGGACACTGATCTTGCACAGAACAATTATGAAACAAATAAAAACACAAAATGACCCGTTGCCTCGAAAATCTGCGTAAACCTCTAGAAAATGTTATAAACATAAATACGTCTATCAAACTAGTGTTCTAATGTGGTTATCGCCATTAAACCAGGCGTGTTTCTACAGATACCCATGTGGCTACATACTCCCTGTGACGTACAGAGGTGACTCCTCCTTGAGCTGCTCTCTGCTTTTTCAATGTTGTTCTTTCAGCAGGGAACTCACTCGTCTGTATCAGTGAGGAGGGGATTTGAGTGTATTGCGCTTGTGCAACTTTATTTTAGAAGTGAAACTATCAACAGATATATAGCTACACTTGAAGGTCTTAAAACGGCTTTAAATATTATGAAAGTCGTTTGATGTTTGTCAACATTTTATTGCAAATCACATTTCATTGTCTGAACATAGTTCTAAGAATTTGGGTTTTGTAGATTCCTTATGTCCCGAAAATCCAGCGATAATGAATATAATCTTAGGAGCTTAAGCAATCTGATGGGGGAGAGAAGAAAGAAAGTCAACGACGATGGAGAGAGGAGTCTCATCAAGGCTCCCTCCAGCTCCAGTATCAACAGCCAGGGCTCGACCGCAGCTGCTACGGGGGACTTGGAAAGAGCAGCTCGAAAGCAGTTCCAGCAAGATGTGACACCTGGATTCGTGTATGTCCTGGCGATCTTCTCTGCTTTGGGAGGCTTCCTCTTTGGCTATGACACCGGAGTTGTCTCGGGAGCGATGCTCCTGCTCAAGAAGGAAATGAATTTGAGTGCTCTCTGGCAGGAGCTTTTGGTCTCTAGTACTGTCGGCTCGGCGGCTGTGTCTGCTTTGGCTGGCGGAGCTTTGAATGGGGTATTCGGGCGCAGAGTGTGCATCTTGTTGGCTAGCTTCATTTTCTCCGCCGGGGGAATAGTGCTAAGCGTTTCCCCAACGAAAGAGATTCTTCTCGTTGGAAGAGTTGTGGTTGGACTCGGAATAGGTAAGTTTATGAGTCCCAACTGTGATAACTTGGGCTTGCGACATGTCTGATTTGAAATGTACCTGTATGCCCAAAGATACTGTATATCCGAATTGTTAAAACAAAATCATAAACATATATCTTCTGGTTTACAGCTCACGATCCGTAAATCAGTTTGTGACATTTACTGACAGTTTCAGAATACCAGATCCACGTGATACACTTATTTATCACAGAACAGTCTTGATGTGACGTTACACTTGTTCTGACAGTGACAGGTGATGAACGCATTTCACAACTTGTGCACTTACAAATAATATTCACGTTGCAGGGCGTAGTCGTTGCAATTGTTGTGAAGCATATCACGCAACAAGGATAGATTTACAGTAAAATGTGATTTTTTAAATATAACAAATCTGAATGTTGGAATTCCTGCCGAATGTTACCTTTCTTGATCTTTTTGTTTCTTTCAACGTTACGTTACAGTCCCAAATACTGTACCCCCCTTCTCCCCGTTTTCGAATGTCGTTGCCCGTTTAAACCAATCGACATAAATTTTATTTACGGATTATCTGTCTGACAAGTGGGAGTACATCATTACATTTGACTGCGGCCATTATTGGCAACCTTTCAGTATTGATTAAGCTTTTTATTTTTTTATCTGACTCTAATGTACTTGATCTGAACAATTGTTGAAGACCTCGACAATTAAACTATTAAATGTAACGAAATACGACAACCTTCTCTTTTATTATGACAAGTCACTTGGGTAAATGCAGGGAAAAAGCAGTGGTTTGATTGCAGTGATTTGTTTCTTTTACAACCTAATCTTGGCACCTTGAAGTGTACTATCCAGTAAATAATAGAGTGTATTATCAGATCTACTGATCTATCTGAGCTACTATCTGGTCCCACACCAAGTACTGCTGTAAGAGAATCACCTATACCTGTTTTCCTTGACACATAGTGTATCCCTCACTCACAACATAATTATCTGGGGCTGAAGTATTGTGCATTTTAGAGGACGTTTTTTGACATTATCATAGAATAAACCAAAGAAAAAACTATAGACATTTAATCAGGACACATGCTACTTGATGTGCATTCAAATCGTTTAACTACTGTATTTAGTGTTCTGCTTTTCTTTTTTTTATGCTCTTTATTTCCAGGAGCGCTTGCTTAAAGTTAAAATTTCTCTTTAGCAGATGGTGTTGCCCTGTCCTTTAGTATTGTTTATTCCTTCTAAAGACTACAGTGAGGTAGATATGTTTTTTATCCTTGTAAAATCACTCATCTAACATTTTTGTTCCTTTTGATACTTTTTAAAATGAACAAAATATAGATGTGTAGAATGATTAAGGATTAAAATAAATGTACTTTAAGGCATATAAAAAGTTTCAGAACCCTTGCAGGCTAGGCTACTGCATGAGTACAGTAGGAGCTGACATCTTCTTGAAGCTAATGCTCATCAATCAGACACTGTTGTTTCTGGTTCAAAATTTACATGGTAACATCTCGGAGATTTGAAACAGGGGTACTGTATACAGTAAAAGATAATTTGCAACTAAAAAAACTGGAGCATGCAGCCTTGAAGGATTTCTCTTTGCTCCCTACCCCATGTACTGTAATGGTGGGAATTGAGGTTCATACAGGGCTACCATTTCACCAGACAGTATGTGATCTGTCTTGTCCCATCACTGATACTAGCAGAGTATGAAGTTAATTGGCCAAGCAGACCTTGAACAGTAGCACTTTGTTTAAGAAGCTGCATTTCGTCTAGCAATCGATAAAATGGCCTGCTGTGGGTGTGGAGATTATCTCAGTAATGAGTGAGGCACAGCCTTTTGTTCATCAAATCCAAAAGGTTCGATTAAGTTAGTGTAGCACCAGTCGAGGCAGCTTGTGAGAGAAAGAAATGGTGGCATGGTCGCTAGAAAGATGCCAATCATGTTAACAGTTAAATTAGTTAAATTAGAAATGGGTTTTAACAGCAGGAACTAGTGTTACGGGCCATGTGGGGGAAAAAAAGAAATGATGGTCTGACAGCCATTTTGGTTTGCAGGGTACACTGTTTTTACGCACAATATATTCATTCTATTGGTGGTATCATTGTTCTTTTAAAGTTTGGAGTTAATTGACCAGACACAATTTTTTAGAAAAGGAGCTAATGTTACGGGGAAGGTATCTCCAAGCTTGTAACTACCAGGTGGAGGACTCTGAAGAATAGCTGCAAGCTGTGTCTTCTACTAAGTTTCTGGTCAATTACTGCCATGGTTACCAGGTTATGACAGTTAAACTTGTTACAAAAATGCTGTCTCTAGATGTCTTTCCACTAGAATGATCCCTTCCAAGTATGGGGTTAATTGGCCAAGCAGTCCTTCAAAGAAATAGATTGCTTTGTCTCACCACATGGTTAATAACCCACCACAGCAAATAATAATCAAAGCTAGATGGCTTGCAGATCAGAAGCAGATTTAGTTGTTCATGTAAACTTCAGAGTTTCACTTCAATCAGTGTAGCAATTATCAAGAAGAGGCATCTTGTGTGTCCACAATGGTTCAGGCAAGAAGTATCACTTTGTCAGGTGTTAGTCATATGCTGGGTAATTGTCATGACTTATTGTAGTTGGACAGGCATATTTATAAGATTTTATTAAAAAATCTAACCATTTGTTCATCATGGTGGTAGCAATATTTTACTACTAAAGTTTGAAGGTAATCAATAAAACAGTTGCTAAGCAGGAGCGGTTGTGGTAGACTGCGTTTGTCAACACCACTGTTTATTGAGCATTGTTGGTGCAAAAACTAACATGGTGTTTAATTTACAAAGCTGTGATTCTCGATGAAGTCTGCAAATCGGCAGCTCCTCATGACAGCAATATTTTGGAAGGCCTTATAAATATGCATGTCATGTGAGCATACTGTATTGGTTAATGCAGAACTCAATTTGTTTTGTTGAAAATGTAATGGCTTGAGAGAATCTTCAATAAGCCCACAGCTTCATTAGTGGGAAGACTGTAAAATTCACCATACCCATTTTTTTAATTTTTTAATTTTGAATGTTTATTTAAAGCTTTGTTTATCATATCAAAATGGTCTTGTTGGGGAAAAAAAAGGTGTTGTCCTTTAAGAAGAGAAGGGGAAGTGACCCTTTTCAAATAGAACTGAAGTGCTTCTGATTCCCAGCGTGTTGTTAGGCAGACATACCTATAAACCGTGACTAACAAGGGAATATGTGGGAATTCCAGCGTGTTGTTATGAGGCAGACATATACTGTAAATGAACAAGTAAGGCTGATTCCACAGGAGAATACACTGTGAATGACATGCAACAGTGCAGGAATTTTCTTTCACAAATGAGCACTCTCCTCTGTGTACAGTGATATATTTGTATTCATAAAATGTTAAAATGTCCATTCCAGTTATACCATTAAGTTTAGTATAAAGTTCAGGAAATGTTACAGCCTACTAGTAATAGTTTTTTTTTCATAAATATTTAACGGTCCTCTGTTAGTGCTCTTAAATGAGTATTATGAAATTAGTGGAGTAATGCTTTTGGATGTGTCTGACCCTTGAGACCTATAATCTGGAGAAAATCGAACCTTAGTATATTGTTTTGTGTATCCCTGAATGACATTGTACTCCGTGTTTTGTTCTTTGAGCAGGAGATTGCTTTACTCATTAAACAAGGAATATTGCATACCGTGATTGTTGCATTTCCTTCAGTGTAAGTAAAAGTTAAACATTATTGCATATGATGCTTGAGTAAGGTGTGGTTAAAAATTTTATTTTTTATTTTTTTTTACCTTCCCTATAACTTTCACATAAGAACTTAAAGAAGGCTCATAATGGAGGGGAAGCAAATTATCCAGATAAACCTAATGGAAACATCAATCCTTATTTAGAAAGTCCATCCTTCCATTATGCTTCCATTATGGTCACGGGGGAGCTGGAGCCTATCCCAGAAAGCAATGGGTGCAAGGCAGGATACACTCCGGATGGGAGGCCAGTCCATTGCAGGGCACATTCAAACATGTGCACACAGAAGCCAGTTAACTTACCAGAATGTTTTTGGACTGTGTAAGGAAACCAGAGCACTCAGAGTAAACCCACATGAAAGAAGGGAGATATACAGTACAAACTGCATGCTACAGTAACTACTGCACCATTGTGTCAGGTTTATTTAGAATATTCTGTAAAGTTCACATCCTCCCATTGAACAGATTAAGTGATGGAAATCAATGCCAGTTTACACTTATTTATTTTATTATTTTGTTGGAAAGATTATTATTTTGTTGATATTCTGCTTGTTCGTCGTTTGTTCAAGAGTGTTATTGTACTGTTTTGAAAAGATGTAAACATCTGTAGTTCCTTGACAATAAGTTTAAAAAGACCTAAACACAAACTTAAAGCATTTATGTGTACTTTACTGGACTTCTAGATTTCATAAGGTCCCTGGTTCCACCTGTTTGATTGTTGTCCTAAATATCTGCTATTTCATAATGGTTTTTAATGGCAAATGTTTTTATAGCCTGCTTTTTTTCTCTTTACTTTATTAGTTCTTTTTTTAGTTTATATCCTGATTTTACATTTGCACTGCCTGAAAGTAATCAGCTTCTTATTAATTGAATCTGCTTCACTTAAAAAATGGAGTTGGGAGTTATTGTATTTATTATACATACACATTTTGCAGTAATAAACAATAATGGTGTGACTGCATTTATATATGCAATAAATTGGTGTGCATCATACAGATTTTTAAGAGATATACTGTATACATTAGATTATTTTTATCTAATCCTAAGTTATATTAAACTGTACATAATATTTTTTGTAAAGAAAATAATACTTTATCACAGTCTTTCTCTGAGCTTTTGCTGTTAACAATTGGTTAACTTGTAAAAATAAAAGAAGGGTTGTATTAACTATTTGTAAGCAACCAACAATATCATTCTTTTTATCAGAATTTTTATGTTGTGAATTTTCTAGATGCATTTTGAAAAAAAAACACTTTGATTGCTTT